GGGTCTCTCTCGGAGTCCTAGTCTAGCTAACAAATCTGCTCTGGGGATTCCCCATCTGTTGTCTCCAGGTAGCCTGCCTCACTTTTACATGGGTTCTGGGAATCTGAACTCTGGTCCTCACACTTGTGAGGCAAGTGCTTTAGCTGCTGAGTTATCTCCCTAGTCCCTTCTAATCCATTGTTTATTGGTCAGTCTATTACATCTGTGTCTATCAATTAATACTCTCATCAATGTATAAATAAGAATCTTACTTTTATTTTGAAGACTTATGTTTGCTGCAAGAAATAAGAAGGTAGTGTGAGCATATAGTTCAGCAGGCAAAGCACGTGCCATGGAAGTAAGCTACACTAGGCTCAATTTCATGCACTGCAGGGCTAGGGATGGAAACAATGTAAAGGAACACTTTTTAAAAAATATTTCATTTATTAATTTTATTTTATGTGTATGAGTGTATTGTCTGCATGTATGTGAGTACACCCATGTTGTGCAATGCTGTGGAGGTCAGAAGAGGGCTTCGGATTCCCCTGGAACTGGAGTTAAAGACAGTTCATAGACGCTATGTGGGTGCTGGGAATCAAACCCAGGTCCTCTGTAAGAGCAGTCAGTGCTCTTAAGCGCTGAACCATCTCTCTAGCCCCAAGGAATCTCCCCCTCTCTCTCTCTCTCTCTCTCTCTCTCTCTCTCTCTCTCTCTCCAGGGTTTCCTTGTAGCCTGAGCTTTCCTGGAACTCACTATGTAGACGAGGCTGGCCTTGATCTCACAGAGATCCACCTGCCTCTGCCTCTTGAGTGCTGGGATTAAAGGCATGAGTCACCATTCCTGGCCATTTCTTTCTTTTTAAAAGAAAAAAAAAGTTTATATGGAGGCTAGAGAAATGGCTCAACAGTTACAAGCACTGGCTGCTTTTGCAGAGGACCTGGGGTCAGTTCCCAGCACTCATATGGCAGCTAACAACCATCTGTAACTCCAGTTCCCAGGAGATCCAACATCCTCTTGGGGCCTTCCTGGGCACTGCATGCACAAGGTGTACCTACATACATGCAGGCAAAACACTCATATATACAAAACAAAAATAAACACATTTAAAATTTTTTTAAATAAAATTATGTGTAACAATGTAGGTATGTAGGTATGTGCATCACATGTGTGCCTGGTGCCTGCAAAAGGCCAAGAGAAGGTGACCTACCTCCTGGAACTGGAGTTACAGCTGGGTGTGAGCTGCCTGATGTGGGAGCTGAGAACCAAACCTAGGTCCTCTATAAAAGCAGCAGCAAGTGCTCTTAACTGCTGGGTCATCTCTCTGGCCCCATTGTAGTTTTACTTTAGCCTAGTCACTATCCCACGTAAATAGATTCCCTATTTCTATTGTGGGAAATGACTGCTTCTGACTTAGTTACTCCAGTTGAAATTCTGTGATCTTCTCTATGAAAAACTGGGCGTGAAATCGTTCATCAGAAACCACTTTAACAGTTTTTAACAGGCAAAGTGGAATTACCTTATTTCATCTTCTTGCACCTTTCTGAGGTCTCATGACAGAGCATGCCTAACTTTTCTAAGGTAGAAAGCTTCCTTCTGTTCAGTGCTGAATAAATAAAGGCAACCTATGGTAACAACACCTTAAATGTGGATTGTTCTTGCTATGAAATCTGACTTACATTTCAAACATACAGAGCACACAAGTGTGATTCATCATCTGCCTGCCATCATCGACTAGCAGGGGAGAAGACAAGGAGTCCTCCACACCCACAGTGACGAAATGATGAGAGGTCACACAGAAGAGAAGACTAGAGACACACGCCTGGAGTGTCAAAGCTCAGAAAAGGCAGCTCAGAGGAACCACATAGAGAAAGCCTTAGAGTACTAGTCTCTCTAAGAGGAGAGGGGAGAGGGTCAGAAGAGTCATAACAAAAAGCCTTGGCATGGAAGAGAACGTGAGCTCATACTGAGAAAATCGTAAGTAATCAGCTTAGCCTTGGTGAAGAGAAATAACAGGACAAAACAGAGAGAAACAGAATTGTAGTATTTCAGTTACTGGTGACCTAAACAAAGGTACTAAAATACAATGCACAAACCCCTTCTACATAAATGTAAGGCAGGAGGAAGGCTTCTAGGATGGTAGAGTAGGGGCTTGAGAAATCTGCTCTCCACAAAAGTCTCAAGAACATTGGCAAAATGGTCATGATCAACTTTCTCAGAACTCTGAGAATTGGCCAAAGGCTTACAAGAATCCAAGGAATGTTTATACAAGACACTGGATGGTCAGTAAGCAGAGTCTTGTAGCAATTTGACTTGCCCTGCTCTCCTTCCCCAGCTCTGAAGATGTCTTGAAAACCAACAGACCTGGAGCTGGAGAGATGGCTCAGCAGTTAAGAACACTGGCTGTTCTTGCAGAAGACCCAGGTTCGAATCCCAGCACCCACATGGCAGCTAACAACTGTCTGTAACTCCAGTTCCAGGGGATCAAACAGCCTCTTCTGTCCTCCGTGGGCATTGCACAACACGGGTGCACTTACCTACATGCAGGCAATACACACATACACATAAAAAAAATAAAAAATAAGAATAATAAATAAAATTAAAAATTGAAAAAAAAAGAACCAACAGAGAACGTCTCTCACCACTGCCTGACCTGCTGTTCTATATAATCAGGAAATGAAGGCTGGGGTACAGGAGCAAACTACTGGTAGGTACACTGAAGGGGTGTCACAACATACCTGCACAGGCACTCACACACAGCCTCTCAGCAAAGGCTGGGACACTTTCTGGTTCAAAATAGTTAAGAAAACCTGTCCAATTACTAATGGGCTGCTAAACTAATGAGAAGGCACTTCAGTACTCACAAGAACAGGAAACAGAGGCTTAACAAAATTAGGCCCAGAAAGTCACAAAACTAATGACATCAATGAAAAATTTGCAAAGCACTCATACTAAATTATTTTAAATAGTCATTTTTTTTAAACAAAAAAATTATTAGGCACATAAAGTGTCAGGGAAATATAGATGGAAGGGGGCAGGTAGTCAACAGAATCAGTCCTCGAGGAAATCAGGATGTTGGGCTTATTAGACAGACTTAAAACAAGTAAATGAAATTGGGCATGATAGTACACATGTTTAATCCCAGCACTCAGGAGGCAGAGGCAGGCAGATCTTGTAAGATGGAGGCCAGCCTGGTCTACATGGCAAGTCCCTGTCTCAACAACAACAACAACAAAAAGCACCAAATAATGACAGTTCAGTTATCTAGCCTGAAGAAAGAGGGGAAGAGGGAGAAGGGAGAGGGATGGAAGAGGAGGAGGAGAGGAGGACCAGGAACATATTCTTATAATAGGGCACCTTCTTGACCATAGCTATGCTATGTTAAAGTTTAGGCTGACTCTATTCTCTGAAATTATCAGACAGTTGGCCCAGGATATGGGAACACATGCAAGCTGGACTCTGGTTGTCTTGGGAACAGGACAGAGCATCCTAGAGTGTTCCTGCTACCTTCCAATTTATGGCCTCTGTAGGTTATGCTTCGCTTGCTTCTGCAAAACAGTAATTGTTGCTTAATAGAATAGAAATTATTTAGGGGACTCTCCACATGCATGCTTGGGAACCTAAACTTTTCACTCCTGGTTATAGTTTCTCTGTACAAAAAGTATCCCACAACATTTAGAGGTTCCTAAGACACAATGCCATACAACAAAACCCCCCTAGAGGGAACCCTCTTTGTGACCAGTAAAGACAAAATAGAGTAACAGTAAGATTGATAATGTTGGGGCTGGAGAGATAGCTCAGTGGTTAAGAGCATCGACTGCTCTGGCAGAGGACCTGGGTTCGAGTCCCAGCACCCACATGGTGGCTACAAACCATCCTTAACTCCAGTTCCAGGGGAATCTGAAGCCTTCTTCTGACCTCTGTGGAACTGCACATTGCACGACACGAGTGCACTCACATACATGCAGGTAATATACTCATATACATAAAATGAAAATAAAATATTTTTTTAAAAAGATTGATAATGTCAGTTTATGAAAGAGGAGGAAGCTCCATGCAGGTGGGGGATTTGGATGGAAAATTATATTTTCTTACGTACTTCCTTGATAAATGTTTGCTGAAGCTTAACGCTCAATGATTGGCTTCTGTATTCTGCTTGCTTGCCTAGCAACATGATCAATATAAAAAGAGCCACAGTGCTTAGGCTTGGTGCTGCACTCAGACCCTCTAGGAAAGTGTAGCCCAGCCATAATAAATATTTCTTTCTTTCTCTAGACTCACCTGTCTGGCTGTCTGTTTGGGGCATTTGTGGATCCCGGACTATAACAATTCTCAGACCAGTGGGACATCATCTCATTTACCAGCATATGCATAACAGAACTTAGGATCAGCATTTAACTAACCAGACAAACAAATCTCTCTGTGGATTTCAGGAATCCTCTCCACAGCCAGTCTTACCTTTAAAAGTCCCCCAGGTGGTTTTAAAATAGCCTGTGTTGAAAACCACTGGGCCAGGCAATGATAGGACGTGGCCCCTTTCCTTTCACATTCATCCTGCCATCTCTCATACCAGTCTTCAAGAAAAGAGTCAAAAACCCCTTTGGAGGTGGGGTTGGAGAGATGGCTCAGCAGTTAAGAGCACTTGCTGCACAGTCACGAGGACCAGAGTTCCAATCCCAGCACCCAGATAAAAAGCATGGTCTCCTGCAAATGCCTGTAACTGAGGGACTTGACACCCTCTCTGGCCTCTGTGTACCCCCAGGCCTGTACACACACACACACACACACACACACACACACACACACACACACACACGAACATATACTCATACAGGCACATATAAATGAGTATGTATTTTTTAAAAATCCTGTTGGCTACTGGACTTAACCACCAACACTAACTAAACATTGGGAACAGTAAGAAAACACTGTACAACAGGAGAGCGCTGTGGGAAGGAACACAAGAAGAGTCCCCTAACTCAAGGTGAAGAGCAGGGGCAGTGGGAAGAGCAGCTTTCTCTCACCCTCCCCAAGGTGGCGCTCCAGAGCACCCTGGAGTCATTGCTCGATCTTTATCACCATCTGGATTCCACTGCATTGAACCTTCTGTTTCCTTAACTGCTTTCTGCTCTGCTTCATCAAGGACTCAGGATGTGGATAAGCCCATCTCCAGAAGGTCTGGCCAGTTTACTTCACCATGCTAAGGGTTTGGGAACTGGTAACAAATTTTAAGGAAATCAAGTGTTATTATCAACAATGGAAGCAATCCCAGCAGCAGTGTGGAGGAGGAGCTGTTGAACACAGAGCCCAGACGTAAAGAGGCCCATGAGGCTTCAGGAAAGGCACATCCAGCACCTGGGCCAACTTTCTGTGAATGGGATAAAAGGATCTGATGTCACAAGAGGAACATAACACAAGGCAAGAAGAGAAGGTGGTACTAAGATTTTTTTTTTTAAGATTTATTTATTTTTACTTATTTTTACTTTATGTGAATGAGTGTTTTGCCTGCATGTATGTAAGTACACTCAAGTGGTGCAATGCCCATAGAGGCAGAAGAAGGTACTGGGTCTCCTGGAACTGGAGCTGCAGATGGTTGTTAACTGCCATGTGGGTGCTAAGAACTAGACCAAGGTCCTCTGAAAGAACAGCCAATGCTATTAACCATTGAGCCAGCTCTATAGCCCCCTGATTCTAAGATTTCTCTTATTTTTTAAGCTTTATTTTTAATTATGTGTATATATGTGTGTGTGTGTGTGTGTGTGTGTGTGTGTGTGTGTGTGTGTCTAAGTACACATGAGTAAGTGCAGAAGAGGGCATTAGATCTCCTGGAGCTGGAGTTACAGGTGGTTGTGAGCCACCTGATGTAGGTGCTGAGAATCAAACTTGGATCCTCTGCAAGAACACCATGTACTCGTCTCTCCAGCCCCCTGCTTCTAAGGTTTCTAAGATTTGCTTAGGAAGCTGTGGGTAGAAGGAAGAGGAAGGAACAGGGAGCCATGTTTGAAGTGCCAAGGTTATCCAGCAGAGATGAAAAGTGAGACCTGAAATTAAGGGAAATGGGGACTGAATAAACATCTTTGAAAACCATAAACACAAAGGTGCTATTTGAAGTCATGGAAGGAAGCCACATAGATATCAGAGAACGGGGGGGTACCCGCAAAAAACAGAGATACTAAAGGAACAGCTTAATTTGAGAAAAGAGGGAAGCATCAAGGGAAGGGTAGTTTTGTTTTGTTTTGCTGTGGACGGTGGAAACCTGTTTATGCATGCTAAGAGAAAAAGATGAACATGGGGAGAGCAAAGACATAGCCTTAGGAAGGGAGACCCTTCTTCCTGAGATAAAAGCAGAGCTCAGAACCCAATAAGCGCAAGCAATAGGTAAAAATGACAGGTCTTTAAGAACTCAAGCCTACCCACCAATGTCTTCTGTTAAGCAGGAGACAAGCAAAGCCATAAAAAGGCAACAGTCAGAGCAAAGTGGTAGACAGAGGAACAGCAACTTAGTTTCCTAAGAGGTAAACTCAAAGGACCTCTGAGTGCTCCCAGTGAATTTTGGAGTACAAAACCTAAATGGCTCAGTGACTTTCTCTGGCTGCCCTGGGGAGCTCAGGAGCAGGAAAGTGGCTGATCTGGGCTTGAGACCACCAACGCAAATGTAGGGAGAACAGCACAAGGCCCAGGGCAATGCTTTTCTTGGTTGGTTGGCTGATTTGTTTGGGGTTTTTTTCAGACAGGGTCTCAAAATGCAGCCCAGGCTGGTCATGAACTCCTGCTTCAGCTCCCCAGTGCTGAGACTGCAATCCTGTGCTATCCACACCTGTCCCTAGAGCAATGCTTTTATAAAAAATTATTTTTATACCCCAGGCATGGCAGTGCAACACCTTTAATTCCAGCATTCAGGAGGCAGAGGAAGGTGGATCTCTCAGATAGGGGCCAACCTGGTCTTCAGAGCAAGTTCCGGTTCCAGACCAGCTGGGGCAACAGGGAGACCCTGTTTCAAACCCCACCTCTCAAAAATTTAATAAATTTAAAAAACTGTGGACTGGGAACACAGCTCCACAGTAGGGGGCTTGCCCTAGCATATGCAAAGCCCTGAGTTCCATCTCCAGTATCAAAACAAAACAAAACAAAAAAATCCTGCTAACTCTGCCAGAAGAGTGCTGGGAAAGGGGAGGCCAGGTGTGTAATCGCTCCTTAACTCCCATCAACGTCTAGAGAACTGGTCAGGACGGCCAGTTCTAAGCACAGGTGGCCGCTCCAGAAGCCGATTCAAGAAACCCAAAGATGAGGCCCTCTGGCTCCTAAAGGGATGGAACTCATACAGCTTCCTGGATTGTCTTCAACACTGCTTATACACAATGCTACAATGGCTTGAAGGTAGGGGTTCTCCCCTAAAACAAAGGTTGCTAAACACTGTAGGTAAGAGAGAAGGGTATTATTACAAACCTCCTTGAACAGCAGCCTAAATATCCTTTACAAAGGAAATTAACATAATACATGGCACAAAGCTTAACTGAGCTTCTACATACATGCAGTAAGCCATGGATAACTCCATCCCTTTATTATACATGGAGTTCAGTCCCTCCTGCCTTCTCCCACACCATTCTTCAGGTAGAGAGGTCAAAACTCCCAGATTCTAGATTTCTTGCTTCCACCATCCTTAGAGTACAAAAGAGAGAGGAAGTGGCTAACACACTTGATCACCTTCCATGAGCCAGGTCTACTATGTGAGTGACCATGGGCTAGGGCACTTAACACACCAGAGGCACAGTGACCCTAACAGCAAATTATATGTTAAAGATAGCTTATTATTTTATTTATTTATAGAGGGGGTGGTACACACATGCCATAGCACATGTGGAAGTCAGAAGACAATTTCTCCAACTCAGGTAGTCAGGCTTGGTAGCAAGTGCCTTAAACTTCTGTGCCATCCCACCAGCCCCAACCTATTTAATGGATCTAAAGCTGGATGCACTGGCTCATTACTGTTATCCCAATACTTGGAAGGATGAGGCAGAAGGATAGTCAGTAATTCAAGGCCAGCCTGGGCCAGTCAGTTTCAGGCCAGCTTGAGAAAGAGGAGAGGAAGGGGAGGGAGAGAAGATAAGTTGATTGAGTTGGCATCAGGAGAAGGGGAAAGGGTCTGAAAGTTCAAGTGTCCGGGAGAAGAGTTAAGAGCCTGTGGTGATCAAAGTAAGAAGAGGGGGTGACTGAGATGTCTAAGGGTAAGGCACAGGAACCAAACCATGCAGGGAGCAGCAACTGACAGGGAAAAGGGAGTCACAGCATAACAAGCACTGTGGCTCATGCCTGTCATCCAACACCGAGGAGGCTGAAGCAAGAGGAATGCCATCAGCTTGGGCTACAAAGTGAGTTCGAGGCCAGCCTTGGATACACAATGAGGTGAGTTCAAGGCCAACCAGGGCTATACAGTGAGCTCGAGGCTACCCTGGGCTACAGAGTGAGTTTGAAGCTAATCAGGTCTAATCAGTAAAGTGAGTCCGAGATCAACCTAAGCTATGCATTGAATTCAGGGCCAGCCTGGGCTACATAGTGAATTCGAGGCCAGCCTGAGCTACACAGTGAATTCGAGGCCAGCCTGGGCTATACAGTGAGACTGTCCCAAAAAAGCAGGGGGGGGGGTCTCAAAATAAGGGGGTCACGGTCTCGCTCTGGCTAGAGATGCAGGAGGAGCATATGCAGGTGCGGCGGAGTGAGGTGTAAGGAGAGTCGGATGCATGCGGGACAGACAGGGCAGCAGCGCCCTGGAACGCGAGGGAAGAGAGGCGGGCGATGGGGGATGGAGGACAGCCGCGGGATGCAGGATGGAGGCGGCCGGGGTTCGGCGCCGGAGCACAGCCCCTTACCTGCGATGGCTGAGGCGCCTCCGCGCCACCGCGTCAGCATCCTGGGCTTCGGCCGCTTCTCTCGATACTCTAGCTGGGGGCCATGGGGCCCGTCCTGGAAGCGCGTCCTCACCGCCAGCGTCGGCCGGCCGAGCACCACCTAGATGCTTACCCGCGGCCGCCTCAGCAGCGACTAGCAGCGGTTGCTGCCTCAGCGCCTGCCGCCCGCCTCCGAGCGGTCGCAGGACCTCACGCGCACCACGATTGGTTGCCCCGAGCCCGGCTGCACGATGTATTGGCTTCTCTGATTCGTTGGTTCTGGGAGGAGGCGGGGTTTGGGAGTGTGCTGGTCAGGCAGGCGCTGAGGGGCGGGGTCTGACGGCGTGGCCTACCTTCGGCGCGCTCCCGCGTGGGAACTCCCCAGCCGCTATCTGCAGGGGCGGGTAGTTGCCAGAGCAACGGAGCGCGTGGCCTAACTGGAGGCGAGCCAGGAGGACCAGCTTGGAACGTTAGCTGGCCACGAAGGCCTTCATCCCTGAAACCCTGCCAGGGACGAGCAAATGAACTTTCCTGGGAAGTCCCTCCTCTGTCTGGCTATGGCTTGACAGAGCAGACAAGTACACGTATAAATTCACACAGTAGTTCAGCTACACAAAAGTACAAATAAGGGGGCCGGGCGTGGTGGCGCATGCCTTTAATCCCAGCACTAGGGAGGCAGAGGCAGGTGGATCTTTGTGAGTTCGAGGCCAGCCTGGTCTACATAGTGAATCCCAGCACAGCATGTATTTCAGAGACCCTGTCTCAACCGGTTTCTCAACCTCTCACTTCAAAAGCCAGGCTAGATGGTGCACACCTGTTATCCCAACGTTTAGGAAGCCAACAGGAGGATCAAGAGTTCAAGACCAGCCTGTGCTCCACAACAAGACGACCCTAAGACCCTGTCTCAAAGTTTCAAAATTCAAAAAGGAGACCTCAAGATGTAGCTCAGCTCAGTTGGTAGAGTGCTTGTCTGGCATGAAGGAAGGAAGTCCTGGGTTCCATCCTCAGCAACATATAAACCAGGTATAAACCAGGCAAAGAGGCACATACCCAAGATCTGAAAGGTTGAAGCAAGAGGATCGGGAATTCAAGGTCATCCTCAACTTCATAGTGAGTTTGAGGCCAATCTGGGCTATATGAAATCCTATCTCAACAAACAAAACAAAACCAAAAAGGTGAGGAAGGCCGGCATGGTGGCGCATGCCTTTAATCCCAGCACTCAAGAGGCAGAGGCAGGCAGATCTCTGTGAGTTCAAGGCCAGCCTGGTCTACATAGTGAGTTCCAGGACAGCTGGTACTACAGGGAGACACTGTCTCAAAAAGACCAAAAAAAAAAAAAATTGAGGGGATTGTGGTACACACCTGTAATCTCCGTGCTCAGAGGGGGATGCAGGAGGATCAGGAATTCAGGGTCATCCTTGTTTATAAATAAATAAATAAATAAATAAATAAATAAATAAATAAATAGGGGCTGGAGAGATGGCTCAGAGGATAAGAGCACTTGCTGTTCTTGCAAAGAACACAGGGTCAGTTCCCAGCACACTGCATATTGGTGGCTCACTCCAGCTCTAGGGAATCAAGAGACCCGCTTCTGACCTCCACAGGCACCCAAGTGCATATTTACATACATGCGTATACACACACACACCAACATACACAGACACATGCACATACATTTTTTAAAAAAATCATTTTTTTTAAAGTAAAACCGGGGATGTGGTGCTGCACACATTTAATTGCAGCACTCAGGAGGCAGAGGCTATATAGAACCTGGTCATAGCAAGTTCCAGACCAGTTAGGGCTAGGGGAAAATGAAATAATTAAAACCAATGAACATTTTCATTGATTGATTAATACTGATTAATATATAAACAAAAATGGTCTGGTCATACAGCGAAATAATATTCAACAATAAAAATAATTAATAATTGATACATGGGGCCAGCAAAATGGCTCAGCCAGTAAAAGCTCAAGCCTGACAACCTGAGTTAGATAACCAGAACCCACAGTGTAAGGAGAGAACTGACTCCCTGAAAGTTGTCCTCTGACCCCCACATGCATATCATAACTCATGCATGTCTGCAGGTGGACACACACAAACATGCACTTGTGCACACACAATAATAATAAATGAACTTTTTAAATTATAAGAATTGATCAGCCGGGTGTGGTGGTGCATGCCTTTAATCTCAGCACTTGGGAGGCAGAGGCAGGCAGATCTTTGTGAGTTCAAGGCCAGCCTGCTCTACATAGTGAGTTCCGGGACAGTTGGGGCTACGAGGAGACCCTGTCTCAAAAAGACAAAAAAAAAAAAAAAAAATCGGCCAGCAAAATGGTTCAGTGGATAAAGGAACTTGCCACAGAAGCCTAGCAACCTTAGTTTGATCCTGGGAACCCATGTAAAGGTAGACAAAATTGTGCTATCACAGACAGAACTGACTCCATATAGTTATCCTCTGATATACCATGACACGTACATCACCCACACACACAGACTAATGCACAAAATTTTAAATGTGGCCAGGTGTGGTGGTACATGCCTTAAAAGCCCAACACTCAGGAGCAGAGGTAGGCAGATCTCTTGTCTACGTAGAGTTCCAGGCCAGCTGGGGCTACAGGGAGACCTTGTCTCAAAAAAAAAAACAAACAAACAAAAAAAAAAATTCTAAATGTGTTTATTTGGTATGGGCACACATGTGTGTATGCGGGCATGTGCATGCCCCATCTCCAGCATATGTTCACTATGGACTTCATTATTGTTGTCCCATCTGGGGTCCTGGTTAGGGAATTTAACCTCTGGTGCCAGGACCCCCGTAACCTCAATGCTACTTACTGGGGCATGAACAAATCTAATTCTTCCTCCCCCTCTGAAGGGAAATCAAGTCTAGAGCTTCTCCTGGGGAGTCAGAGGGAAGTGGAAATTTCTGATGGCTCTTTCAATTTTGGGGGGGGGGTGTTTTTGAGACGGGGTCTCCCTGTAGCCCCAGCTGTCCTGGAACTCACTATGTAGACCAGGCTGGCCTTGAAACTCGCAGAAATCCACCTGCCTCTGCCTCCCAAGTGCTGGGATTAAAGGCATGCACAACCATGCCCAGCCTGGGCTCTTTCAAATTGTTAAAAAAAAAAAATTCTTTTAGGCTGGAGAGATGGCCAGCAGTTCTTTAACTAGGGCTGGAAGGGATATATTGAAAAGGTTGGGGGAGCCTCTGGGCAGCCAGAGGAGTTAGTTTCTCCACTGTCTGGAGGAAATCTATTTCTTTTCTTTCTTACTTTCTTTTTTCCCTGGAGCTCAGTTTGGCCTAATTATTTCCCATTCTGATCCCATAGAAGCTCAACCCCCTTTCCCTAAGGAGGAGGTTTCTTGCATTCCAAGCCTGCCTCTCCCCTCATCTCCAACCTGATTCCCTTGAAGGAATTTTGAGTCAGGGCTTCACACTCATTTTGCACTCAGTTGTGTGTTTCATTCATTCTCAAACAATCTCTGGAGTGTTCCAACCACTAAAGCAATACTTGTCATTCCCAAGACTTTTCTTACCTTGGCCTGTGCACAGAGTTGCCTGATCCCTGCAGTGCTTGCTACATTACCAAGAGACTTTCCTGTAATCATGACTGATACAGGGAGTACCAAACACCGAAGCCTTGGGGCTGCTGCAATGAGGCATGTCTACCCAAAATTAGGGTTCTAGATGTCTTCCTAGATGGAATTAGAATCCCAGATGAGCCTCCAAATTTTTAGAAATAAAACCTGAGATCCAGGGAACCTACCAATATTGCACAAAGAACATGTGGACAAAGTGAAAGTGACTCAGCAAGGCATATTTTACTTTTTTTTTTTTTTTTCGGTCTTTTTGAGACACAGTCTCCCTCTAGCCCCAGATGTCCTGGATTTGCTATGGAGACCAGGCTGGCCTTGAACTCCCAGAGATCTGCCTGCCTCTGCCTCCCAAGTGCTGGGATTAAAGGCATGCGCCACCATGCTCGGTGGCATATTTTACTTTTGAAAAAGGCTATGTTGCATAGTCAATCAGATCCAGCAAGCACACAGGTTGTGTGTGTGTGTGTGTGTTTTGTTTTGGGTTTTGTTTTTTTTTTTCTTTTTGGTGGTGGGATTTTTTTTGTTTTGTTTTGTTTTTTGTTTTTTTGTTTTTGAGACAGTGTCTTACTATATACTCCTGACTGACCTGGAACTCACTATATAGACCAAACTGTCCTTGAACCTTTAGAAGCTAGGAACCCTACCTAACTCTTTTTCTTTTTTTTTTTTTTTTTTTTTTTTGAGACTTGCAACCCAGGCTGACATCCAACTCACAATCCTCCTGCTTCAGCCTCTCAGATGCTGAGATTACAGTTGGATGCTACCATACTTCTCTCTTTTGAGACAGGATCTCACGTAGCCCAGTCTAGGATTGAGTGGATTGGTTGCCTGATGCTCCTGCTTCTATCTCCCAAGTCCTGGAACAACAGGCGAGTACAAGCATACCCAGCTCATTTATACTGTAAAAATTTTTTTTTAATTTTTAAATTTATGTGAAGGGGTGGGTATGTGCATGTGAGTTCAGTGCCCAAAGAGGCCAGAAGAGGGCATCAGATCTCTTGGAGCTGGAATTACAGGTGGTTGTGAGCCACCTGATATGGGTGCTAGGAACCAAATTTGGGTACGCTGCAAGAACAGCAAATGCTCTTAACCATCTGCCCCAGGCCCTCAGCTAAACTTCTTTTTTAAAAACATTTTATGTATTATTTTTATTTTATGTGTATGAGTGCATTGCCTGCATGTATGTGAGTGCACCCATGCCATGCAGTGCCTCGGAGGTCAGAAGAGGGCTTCGGGTTTCCCTGGAACTGGTGTTAAGGACAGTTCATAGCCGCCATGTGGGTGCTGGGAATCGAACCCAGTCCTCTGCAAGAGCAATCAGTGCTCTTAACCGCTGAGCCATCTCTCCAGCCCCTCAATTAAACTTCTTAAAGGTGCACACTGACACATATATACTTGTAGTTTTCAAAGGCAATCTCTGGAAGAATTCAGTGGTGACCCTGGTTGTCTCTGGGAGGGAAATTAAACTCAGGTGCAGCTATAAGGAATAGATTGCTTTCACTACATCCTTTTTGCCACCTTTGGAAATGTTGTGCCATGTGTTATATTATCTACTTAAAGTTAGCAAGTACATTTTTTTTTTAAGATAGTATTGTTTGAACTCCATATGT